GACAAAGAAGAAGAAGAAGAAGAAGAAGACGAAGAAGAAGAAGAAGAAGAAGAAGAAGAAGAAGAAGAAGAAGAAGAAGAAGAAGAAGAAGAAGAAGAAGAAGAGAAGAAGAAGAAAGAAGAAGAAGAGAAGAAGAAGAAGAAGAAGAAGAAGAAGAAGAAGAAGAAGAAGAAGAAGAAGAAGAAGAAGAAGAAGAAGAAGAGGAAGAAGAAGAAGAAGAAGAAGAAGAAAAAGAAGAAGAAGAAGAAGAAGAAGAAGAAGAAGAAGAAGAAGAAGAAGAAGAAGAAGAAGAAGAAGAAGAAGAGGAAGAGGAGGAGGAGGAAGAAGAAGGGAGTCATGATGTTAGTCCGTCGAATAAGCATAGACATAAACATTGTCTGTGCTGGGTTTCGGGTCTCTGGTCCGCCATGATCCCTATTTTCAACATTTTAGTCTCTGAATAAACTTCGTTGAAGAGACCTGCTCTATTAGAAGAGGAATTACCTTTTCAAAAATTAACATTTTGCATGCAGAGCGTCATAGTTTTATCATCATCATCATCGGGTGGCTTGCTGACTGGTATGCGTCATCACGCCTCTCCACAGTCTGCGACCTGCAGCTCAGTGTATATGCTCGTGTGTTGACACCTCTTCATGCTTCTACTAGAGGCTGTCAAACATCTTCTCGCCCTGCCTTACACTGTCTCTCTTTCCATAGATTTTCCATAGATCTTTCCAGTGGTCACTACATGTTCCAGTTTCCTTCTTCTCATATCACGACCAAAAGTAAATTACTTTCTGATATTTGCGATAAGTTGTTTTCTAGCCTTCGTCTCTTTCAAAATATCCGGGTTTTTTTTTTTTTTTTTTTTAGCAAATTCAAAAAATTTAAAGGAATCTTCTATAAAAAAAAAAAAAAAAATATCTCGGATACCTCAACAAATTGCTCGGCTTGTTTATTAATTGTCTAAGATTCACAGACAAATGTTAAAACTGGTTCTATATAGCATGCGATCAGCCTTTTCCCAACCTCCAGTGACACGGATTGGAGGTTAAAAAAAAATGATTCACAGTTTACCATTTTGGAAAAGCCGTTTTCAAAAATAAAAATGGTCTTTATAGGACTTGAATACTTTGAGTGCCAATGCCGGCTTTCGCTGTTGACGGTTTGCGTGAACACTGAGCTGCAATTCTGATATGGGATGGTTTGTGTTGGCACATTTGATAACTGTATTACGCATTTTTACTTTGCGTGTGCAAGCTTCAACGGTTGGCTGAAAAATACAAGCTTCTCACAACTTTTTTTTTTTTTTCTAAATAACAAGACAGTGAAAGACATTCTGTGAGATTTCCACTGGCACATGATCGTAGCAACGGGGGAGCCCGTCTGTAGTGATATTAAAGCCTAGACTAACGGTCAACGACAAACAACTTTAATACTTCACATCTTTACATAAGCCGTTTTCAACGTTTTACACTTTCCCTATAAGGCTCGCACACTTTACCCGTTTCTATAAAACGTTGTCAAAGTTTAATATTTTCCATACAGTCCTCACCATTTTTTTAAATAAACTGTAATCAATGTTTATAATATTTCCCTATACGGCCTCCACACAACACCATTTTTCAGTAAACCATTTCCTAAGTGTTTCGGTTTGTGCTTCCATACCTGATTATTTTCGATAAATCTTGTCCAAAGTTTAACAGTAAAAACCGCTATATTCGTGGTAAAGGCTGAAGCACTCCGCAGTATGTCAATGAATTCATGAGTTCACACTCACGGGCGATTTCACACAGACTCATTACATATGATGAGTCACCCAACTTATACATTTATGCTGGGCTTGGGACGCTGCATTTGAAAAGTTTGCAGTGTAGGCGACTGTAAAAAAAAAAACTGCTTGCAAGGATGTGTTTTGGACTGGCTTTCTGAGACAAGCATCTGTGGGAGTATTCTGTATATATATATATATATATATATATATATATATATATATATATTAATAATTAACAACAATGTATTGATTAGCACTCACAGAAAGAACTAGAAAGATAGAAGGTCACAATAGAAGAAACAAAATTAAAAATCTTTTTTGAAACATTTTCCTCCAACAGCCCATCATGCATATGATGCCAAACATATATAGACCCTGGATGCATATGATACCAAACATATATAGACCCTAGATGCATATGATGCCAAACATATATAGACCCTGGATGCATATGATGCCAAACATATATAGACCCTGGATGCATATGATGCCAAACATATATAGAACCTGGATGCATATGATGCCAAACATATATAGACCCTGGATGCATATGATGCCAAACATATATAGACCCTGGATGCATATGATGCCAAAACATATATAGACCCTGGATGCATATGATGCCAAACATATATAGACCCTGGATGCATATGATGCCAAACATATATAGACCCTGGATGCATATGATGCCAAACATATATAGACCCTGGATGCATATGATGCCAAACATATATAGACCCTGGATGCATATGATGCCAAACATATATAGACCCTGGATGCATATGATGCCAAACATATACAGACCCTGGATACATATGATGCCAAACATATATAGACCCTGGATGCATATGATGCCAAACATATACAGACCCTGGATACATATGATGCCAAACATATATAGACCCTGGATGCATATGATGCCAAACATATATAGACCCTGGATGCATATGATGCCAAACATATATAGACCCTGGATGCATATGATGCCAAACATATATAGACCCTGGATGCATATGATGCCAAACATATATAGACCCTGGATGCATATGACGCCAAACATATATAGACCCTGGATGCATATGATGCCAAACATATACAGACCCTGGATATATATGATGCCAAACATATATAGACCCTGGATGCATATGATGCCAAACATATACAGACCCTGGATACATATGATGCCAAACGTATATAGACCCTGGATACATATGATGCCAACCATATATAGACCCTGGATGCATATGATGCCAAACATATATTGACCCTGGATGCATATGATGCCAAACATATATTGACCCTCGATGCATATGATGCCAAACATATATAGACCCTGGATACATATGATGCCAAACATATATAGACCCTGGATACATATGATGCCAAACATATATAGACCCTGGATGCATATGATGCCAAACATATATAGACCCTGGATACATATGATGCCAAACATATATAGACCCTGGATACATATGATGCCAAACATATATAGACCCTGGATACATATGATGCCAAACATATAAAGACCCTGGATGCATATGATGCCAAACATATATAGACCATGGATGGGTGATTTGGTCAACACAACGTCTGTCGCCTTCACTTCCCAAGACATGACCTGGTAGCCATGTTAGGTCAGATCGACCTGGTAGCCATCTTAGGTCAGATCGACCTGGTAGCACAGGTCATTGTTTTCATATTCGCCTGATGTAGACTGTAACCCAAGACCTTCGGACCGGCAGGCGATCACCCGGGCACCATGCTACAGCCGCTCCATAGACTTTAGTATTGATAGACATTTCACCCGGGCACCATGCTACAGCCGCTCCATAGACTTTAGTATTAATAGACATTTCACCCGGGCACCATGCTACAGCCGCTCCATAAACTTTAGTATTAATAGACATTTCACCCGGGCACCATGCTACAGCCGCTCCATAGACTTTAGTATTGATAGACATTTCACCCGGGCACCATGCTACAGCCGCTCCATAGACTTTAGTATTAATAGACATTTCACCCGGGCACCATGCTACAGCCGTTCCATAGACTTTAGTATTAATAGACATTTCACCCGGGCACCATGCTACAGCCGCTCCATAGACTTTAGTATTGATAGACATTTCACCCAGTTTAGATATGAGGGAGTCGCCGTGGCGAAGCGGCTATACGCTCGCGCGCGGATCGGAAGGTCGTGGGTAAGCTCCCAGGCGAAGCTGGACTTTTTTTCAAAAATGACCTTGACTTCCAGGTCGACCCAGCCTTAAGTGGGTCTCAGGAAGTAAAGGCGGCCGCGTGTAATGCTGACAACAACAATCATGTTGTGCCGACTGGTACATAAAAATATACGCTATAAATAACCATATATGCCCTATACGCCTAAATGCGTGGAAAGGGACATTTACTTTATATATATATATATATATATATATATATATATATATATATATATATATATATATATATATATATATATATATATATATATGGCTGTGGTTGTTGGGGGCCATAAAGGAAATATAGAGTGGTAATACTGTAATTGCAATGTATTCATTAAGCACAATTATGACTAGGAAGCTTGACAATGGGGAGAAGGGAAAAGAGGCACATAGATACAGCCGAACTTCTCGATGGAAGACTTTATCGACAAATTTAAAAAAAGAAAACGGAAAAAAAAAGGACGAGAACTCTAAGCTCCAGTTCCCACACAGAAAAGTCGCGCAGAGAAAGAACTAGACCAGAAATGTGAATAGTGAGAATGGGAAGAGCTGTTGCGAAACGAAACATAAAATGTTAATATGTTCGATGACTAAAATGGGTTGTTGTGCTGCCATTTATCAGAGTCTATTGAAAACCATTGTAGCAGAATCCATATCCTTTAGGAATAAGTTTACAAAGTGATTGGGGTTTGTTGGTTCAGGGCTTACTCTCCATATTAGGTTTAAAGGCAGAAGTAGGCAAGACGTGAGGGGGAGGAGAAAGAGAAAGAGGTGCTGTTGTGGACGAGGAGGAGGGGAAGAAGATGATGATGATGATGATGACGACGACGATTATGTTAGTGATGATTGAAAGGAAATAAGAAGAAAAGTAGATATTTTCACTTTAGTTTCTCCCAATCTTGTGCACTGGATGCAAAACCTGGTACTAACTGGTTTTAACAGCACCCTTATACTAATGTAAATATGGCTAAAATGTCAATAGATTTAAAACTAGTAAGTTAACAGATCATAGAAAGTGGACTTACCTGTGTGTGTCCGTTTATGAATTTTCAGGTTTTCAGATCTAGCAAAAACCTTGCCACATCCGGGGAACGGACAAGGAAACGGCTTCTCGCCGGTGTGGACTCGAACGTGATTCACCAGTTTGTATTTAGCTTTGAAAGGTCGACCATCTCGCGGGCAACCCTGCCAGAAACAGGCATGGTTGGCTTGCTCTGGCCCGCCGACATGTTCTACAGTTATGTGGGTCACAATCTCATGCATCGTCGTAAAAATTTTATTGCAGGGTTTTCGAGGTTCTGCTTGATCCTGGTCGACCCACTGACAGGAGTGCTCTTGTTTAATGGGGTGCCGCATGAAAGGATAAAAGGCGCCAGGCCCGTGAGGTCCCATGTTCATACGATGGTGCCCCATAGCGCTCATGGGGTTTAGATGTTGCGGTGGGCCAAAGTGATCTGGACGAGGAGGCGCCATTTGGTTGAACTGGTCCGGCCGATGGTAGAACATTTGCCCGTTCACGTGGTGTCCCGCGCTGTGGTCCGATAAACTGGGGAACAGGACATGACTAGCTGAATTATCTGGATGGTGCGAGGGATGTAGACCCATGCTAACCGAAGACGGGACCCCAAACATTCCGGGATGAGGTCCGGGGCTGGCGTCATGGGTTGATAGGTTGAACTGTTCTGCCCGGCGGATAAGAAAGTCTCGAGCTGCATAGCTGGATATGGGTGTGTGATGTCCGTGGTGGCCCATGCTGTAACCGTTGGCCTGGGCAGCGAACTTGTTATGATGCAGACCTGTGGGGTCACCCATGTTGTTGCTGGGGCTCAGTTTCAGGGCCCCATGAGCCAGGCTGTGAGGCCCCGGCCCCGTGTCCATGAAAGGATTGATCATCATGATGACGTTGAAGTGGTGTTTCTTTCTTGAAAATATAACTCCATAGAGTAGACAAGAGACCACATCCGGTTTGTTTCACAGAAGGCCCTGGGGGTTACATACCTTGGAGATAAGAGGTAATGATAGGTTAGTATGCATAAACTCTATGTCTGTCTGTCTGTCTGTCTGTCTGTCTGTCTGTCTGTCTGTCTGTCTGTCTGTCTGTCTGTCTGTCTGTCTGTCTGTCTGTCTGTCTGTCTGTCTGTCTGTCTGTCTGTCTGTCTAATCTTCTTAAAGTCCACGTCGTGTGACGTTGGTAGTCGTGTTTATCCACAACCTTCTGTCTCTTGTACTTTCAATCAACTCTTATACAGATGATCCTCCATGCCATGTCAAACTGTCCAGTCTGTGTTCTTTTATTCTCCCTCTATCTCTCCTCCCCTTCAACTTTCCTACTGTCACGATGTACTCCAGTTTTCTCCTTCTCATCCCATCACCAAAGAATGTAGATAGTCTCTTTCTGTTATGGGCAATCAGTTCTCTTCGTGAGTCAGTTTCTTTCAAAACATCTGTATTATAGGTTGCCTGATAACAGCAGAAGGGAGTTGTAGTAGAGAAGTTTAAGGTAAAAGAAAGGAGATGTATTAGAGAAGTTAAATGTAAAAGTCAGAAAGGAGATGTATTAGAGAAGTTGAATTTATAAAGTCAGAAAGGAGATGTATTAGAGAAGTTGAATGTAAAACTCAGAAAGGAGTAGTAGAGAAGTTGAATGTAAAAGTCAGAAAGGAGATGTATTAGAGAAATTGAATTTAAAAAGTCAGAAAGGAGATGTATTAGAGAAGTTGAATGTAAAACTCAGAAAGGAGATGTAGTAGAGAAGTTGAATGTAAAAGTCAGAAAGGAGATGTATTAGAAAAGTTGAATGTAAAAGTAGAGGAGCATTTCCCACGCCTTCAGGCATTTTGGGCTTTTAAGCCTTAACCTATATTTTATAGACCAATCGGCACTTGGCGGGTGATGGGTCAGCATTGTGCCGGTCTCCTTTACTCCCCAGGACTGTAGGCGGTAACTACTCAAGGCTGGGTCCACCTGGCAGCCAAGGTCATTGTAAAAAAGTCCGGAATCGTCAGGACCCGAACCCATGACCGTCCTATCCGCAGGCAAGCGTCTAGCCGCTACACCAGACAAGCGTCTAGCTGCTACACCAGGCAAGCCTCTAGCCGCTACACCAGGCAAGCCTCTAGCCGCTACACCAGGCAAGCCTCTAGCCGCTACACCAGGCAAGCGTCTAGCCGCTACACCAGGCAAGCCTCTAGCCGCTACACTAGGCAAGTCTCTAGCCGCTACACCAGGCAAGCCTCTAGCCGCTACACCAGGCAAGCCTCTAGCCGCTACACCAGGCAAGCCTCTAGCCGCTACACCAGGCAAGCCTCTAGCCGCTACACCAGGCAAGCCTCTAGCCGCTACACCAGGCAAGCCTCTAGCCGCTACACTAGGCAAGCATCTAGCCGCTACACTAGGCAAGCCTCTAGCCGCTACACCAGGCAAGCCTCTAGCCGCTACACCAGGCAAGCCTCTAGCCGCTACACCAGGCAAGCCTTTAGCCGCTACACCAGGCAAGCCTCTAGCCGCTACACCAGGCAAGCCTCTAGCCGCTACACCAGGCAAGCCTCTAGCCGCTACATAGGCGCTACACTACACCAGCAAACGTCTAGCCACTACATCAGGCAAGCCTCTAGCCGCTACACCAGGCAAGCCTCTAGCCGCTACACCAGGCAAGCCTCTAGCCGCTACACTAGGCAAGCCTCTAGCCGCTACACCAGGCAAGCCTCTAGCCGCTACACCAGGCAAGCGTCTAGCCGCTACACCAGGCAAGCGTCTAGCCGCTACACCAGGCAAGCGTCTAACCGCTACACCAGGCAAGCCTCTAGCCGCTACACCAGGCAAGCGTCTAGCCGCTACACCAGGCAAGAGTCTAGCCACTACACCAGGCAAGCGTCTAGCCGCTACACCAGGCAAGCGTCTAGCCACTACACCAGGCAAGCGTCTAGCCGCTACGTCTAGCCGCTACAGCGGCACTTCGAACGTGCGATAACCGTGGAAGTGCATAACCAGGCAAGATGACGAAAGAGTCTATTCACCAGTCTATTTTCCTAGAAAAGGCAAGCGTCTATACTTAGATAAGTTTCTAGCCGCTACACCACAGCGGACTTCGAACGTGGATGTGGAAGTGCATAATGTTCAAGATGACGAATATTCTATTCAGTCTATTTTTGAAAATGATATCCTCAGATAAGTTTATAGCCAATCCTGATTTACGAATGCAAATCATGCAAATTCAGCCTTTGAGTGGAAAAAAAAAAAAAAAAAAATGTGGGAACTGCGGAGGTTTGGTAGTATAGAAACAAAATGCCACACTACAAGACTCGGTAATCTTGGTTGTTAGTTTCAGCTTTATTGCAAACGGATCACCCCATAGTTGCTCCGCTCCTGTGCTAACGAAAAACACACATGATTTTTATCACAGTCCCTTGTGGAAAGATTAACAGACTGCTGTCTCAGCATATGCACTAACACAAAAACGCATTAAAAGCATATGATAGCCATCATAAGTGCTAACACAAACAGTCCGACATTAGAAATGTAGTTCATCACCGACGGTGGCAGAGGTAACGAACAAATCAGCAGTTGCACACGCAATCAAATTTAATCACTTAAGGGCACCACCAATATTGCGACGACAGGCAACGTGTCATTTTCTGAATCTAAATTCAAACACAATGTTGTTCACAGTCGATAAACATTCCAAATGAAATCCGCAGCTAACAGGGTCGCACCATGCACTCAACTCAGTAGCTGGACGACGTAACTATACCCTTTCAGTCTACAAATGGAGCAACAATGCAACGTCCACCGTATGACAGAAGCAAAACATTTGCCCCGGCTCAACACAGGGATCGTGCCTAGCATCCATTTTGACCGGAAGTACTACATGACTAATAATAACATGTCTCAACTAGACATGTTAAACTCTTCATCAGAGCCGCCCACACTGGACCACGTCTTGCTTCTTAACCATTCTGTGGTGCTCGAATATAACTGTGATAAATGACTTTACTTTGTTTGTCTATTTCTTCTTATCGTTTACCGGCTGGTAACTCTAGTGGAAAGTTCTGGTTGTTAGTCAATTCTCGAGTTCTGTGTGCTTATCCGTTTTACAGATCTAGCTCATTTGCAAGCAGACTGTTGGTTTCTTGCCTCCCAGGCAGATGCACTTCAGCTTGGAAGAAAATACTAAAATTAGTAGTCTCCTGTTAGGTATTCACCCCCTCCCCCATCCGCACACTCCGCCCTCAAAATGAGACCGCCGGGAAATACAGCTGCAGGGTTTAATGTGTTTTCTTGAGTTTACACGTGTTTGATTCTCATCCGTGATATGTTTTTATACAGACTGCAATCCTGGAAGGAGTAAAGAGGGGGGGGGGGGGGGAACAAAAACAAAAACAAAAACAACGCGATATTAATTGCCGTAGAGTTACAATCTTTACCTGCGTATGGCAGCTGGTTACACCCAGCCTGTGTGGTCGTTATGGGTACCATAATTGGGACATAGACGAATATACAACACCGTTGATATCGCGTGTTGTATATTCCAGCACGTCAGCGCTTTTAACACTTTAAAAACAGTCAGGACTGGCCCTAACACCTCCCCTTACAAGTGCTGTAACCTACGTTAAAACGCACTCCCTTCCTCGGAATGAAAACGTAAATGAAAAGCAACGCAGAAAGCTTTTCGAGCAAACTGTATACCTGGACACTCCCATAACTTTAAGCAAAGTTGACGAGCCTAAGAAAGTATGAATGGACAGTGACCTAGTGCGTAAATAGACGGAGCTGACCCAGATTGGGAATTTCCGTAATAGTTATCTATTTGACTTTTCCGGGACTCCCCATATAACCTTGGGGTCCCAGAGTAAAGGTGAACTAGAAGAAAAGTACCCAACATGTCTGTCACACTGCGATCATGTTAGCCATGTAGTCAAACTTCCACTCATTTTGTCAAATAATTGTTCAGTCTACAAATAGACACGAACACACCCCAACTAGAAAGTGACAGCAGTAATACCTTCTATTGCCACATATTACTCACTTATCTCCGCCCACTGAACAGGTAAAAAAAAAACCCCACTAAAACTCCAGCTCACACCACAAGAGACGTTAAGTTGCAGGTCTAATCGATAGAGCAATATAGGCGTGGAGAAACAGGTGTGCGCCCTGCTTAAAACCGTTTTAACCGGGTCTGGATGAAACAAGTAAAAACTCTTTGTTGGGCAGTTTATGGGTAGTCCAGTTCAGGGATTCTCAAGTTGTTTAACCCCACTGCTTCTTCGCGGGTAGCTTGTTATCTTTGTGAGTTTATTTTTTTTTTTCAAGACATCTTCATTACATTTTGTATCACTCATTGAAAACAAAGAATACTCAAACTTTAACAACTGGAAATACTTTCCTAAAATACAGACCACCCCTCACAAACAGAAAGACAACCCCAGTACCGACCACCCATCCTTAAGGATTAGAAACATGATCTCCAACTACTGATCACTTATTATTAACGTTGATCTAAATTAACCCCTCTCATCCTCTAAGAGTTAATACACTGTGAACACTTTGAATCTAACTTAGTTAACGAGTTCGGGGGTAACCGGTACAATGACGTTAATCTATCGACACTACTGCCCCATGGTCGCACCCCCTGCGCACCCAAGCATCCCCCACGCCAAGTACTGCTGATGCCATTGAAGCATGAGGTGCACGTCCGTCTCGTGCGGCGTCGTGACATCAAGGAGGTAACTGGAGATCCCTAGTGCGGGGTTCCATACGGCAGGGGTCAGAGCAATAACGTAAATGGGTAAACGGCAGTGTTGTATCCAGAGTCATGAGGCTTACGGCTAGATAGGGGTTTGCACTAGGCAACAGAAACAATGAACACACTATAGGCACACCAGGTTCCAAAAAGG